AGGATTGCTTGAGCTCAGGAGTTTGAGGCTGCAGTGAGGTGTGGTCAACCCACTGCATCCCAGCCCAGGAAGCAGAGCAAGATCCCATCTTTAACACAACAACAACAGTTCATTGTTCATGCCCCTCTTTTCCTGTTGTTGGTAAAGTATACGCTTCTGAGGAGCTTACCCCTTTGACCTTTTCTAGGGAAAAAATCACTGCTGTCGCCATCACCATCACCATCATTATCGAACAGCTGAGCCAGAGACTAATAATAAACAGCAACAATGATAGCTAACGTGTCTATGGTACGTCCTATGTGCCAGGACTGTTCTAACTTTCTGTATATTATTTTATTTAATCCTTAGTAAAATCCTATGAGGCAGATGCTGTTATAATGCCATTTCACAGGAGAGAAAGTTGAGGCATAGACACAAACTCAGCTAGTTTGTTTCAGAGCCAGGGTGTGAAACCAGGCAATCTGGCTCCAGAGTGTCGTGTAACTCTCACACTATGATCAGATGATAGTAAAAAAGTGAATTGCCTAAAGGACTATATAAATGCACTTTAAAAATCAATCATATGGATTAAGGAAAAGACCCCCAAATTCCAGCTAATCACCTTTCGCTCCCAGGGACATGCATCAATTTAGGATCTATCCTCCTAGGTCTTTTTTTGTTTTTCTGTTAGGACAGGGTGTCACTCTGTCACCTGGGCTGGAGCGCAGTGGTACAACCATGGCTCTCTGCAGCCTTGACCTCTTATGACTCCACTGATCCTCCCATCTCAGCCTCCTGAACAGCTAGGACTGTGCACCACCATGCCTGGCTAATTTTTGTAGTTTTGTAGAGATGGGGTTTCACCACATTGCCTAGGTTGGTCTTGAACTCCTGGACTCAAGCAATCCACCTGCCTTAGCCTCCCAAAGTGCTAGGACTATAGGTATGAGCCTCTGCACCTGGCCCTTCTGGGTCTTTTTCTACGTGCTTGTATATTTATACAGGTCCCTAAAGAACCTTAGTGCTTTCTGTTGCATATTGTTTTTCAAACAAATGGTATCATTCTGTATCTATTACTTTGCAACCTGCTATTATAATTTAATGATCATGGAGATCTTTTCATTTGACTTATTATTTCTTTTAAAACATCAGTGTAGTATTCTGTGGTGGGAAGTCACTGTGGTTTATTTAAAACCCTCTCTCTCTTTTTTTGCCACCACACCTGGTTAATTTTTGTATTTTTAGTAGAGATGGGGTTTCGCCATGCTGGCCAGACTGGTCTCCAACTATTGACCTCAAGTGATCTACCCACCTTGGCCTCTCAAAGTGCTGGCGTTATAGGGGTGAGCCACTGTGCCCAGCCTAAACCATTCTTCATTTGATGGACATTTAGGCTGTTTCCAATTTTTTCCTCTTGTGAGTAGTGCTGTGGGACACATTCTTGGATCTATCAAGTGCAGACATTAATGTAGGTGTTGGCTGGAAGCTGTCTGTGGGATTGCTGGCTGGAAGGGCACTGGATTGTCCTTCAGGCTGCCCTCTGATACTGATACAGAAGGGAGATGCAAACGACAGGACGTGGCCCCGTGGGGCTGTGAGGTGGTTACAGGGGAGAGAGAATCAGAAGGGTGACGCCAGCATCAGCCAGATCACGGGGTGCGGACCGGTGGTTGCCTTTGGCTTCTGCTCCATGAGAGCCTCTTGGTGACAGTGGTGGGGTTTCCGCAACCCCACCCTGACTGGGCCTATGGATGCCATCTCCAAACGTGGAAGAAGCATGGTGAAGTGGGCAGAGTGGAGAGTTCCCCAACTCAGCTCTTATCTGCTGTGTGACTTCTGGAAAGTCATTTTGCCTCTCCGAGCCTCAGTTGTCTCATCGGCAAAATGAGGATAACAACGCCTACCTCTCATAAAGATGGAATGAGCTAATGAGTATCAAATGCTGATGTGTAAGAAGCGCTTGAGAAATGGGGATGATGATGCTGATTTGGGGCCACTCGGGTTTGGGTTGGGAGCCATACACTGGCACAGTGTGACCTTGGGAAGGGTAGTGTGTCCTCTACCCCTTCTGAGCCTCAGTTTCCTCCTCCCTTTCCTCTCACCTGTGTTCTTGAGTCAACTCTCTGGAAGGCAGGAGAAAGAAAAACCTGGAGTTGTTTCCAGGGAGACTAGAGAGGGAATCTCAGTTCATCTTCACCCGCTTCTCTGGAGCTCCTTCCCTCAGTGACTGATGTGAGCTATTCCCCCAGTGCCTCAGTTTCCCCCATGCCCTAGAGCTCTGATAAGATCAGGCTGCCTCCTGTTCCCTGCTCTCCCCAGGTCACTAGGATCAGAGCGATGCCTGGATGAGACAGTGTCTCCTCCCTCTCCATGCCCTCTATTCCCACTGATGGCAGCAACTTGAAGGTGTGGCAGGTCTTAGGAGATTCTTTTGGGGAAGCAGGAGCCTCTTCCTCTAGGCTGACCATGGTGTGGTCACAAAAGCCATATAAAATTCACTCTGGAGGAGAGAAAACTAGAAGAGGAGAGAGAAGAGTAAAACCTTTTAGTCCCTCACTAACTTGGAATGACTTTGGAGAAGACTTGTGTATGATGGGGTGGAGGCAGAGGAGAGCATCCTCTAGTCTTAGCATCTGAGCTGCAGAGTGGTGAGTCAGAACATTTGTCTTGGCATCTGTGCTGCTTTGGGGAGGCCAGAGCTGCTGGCAGAAGGACAGGGCCCCCAGCTGTGCTCAAAATCACCCCAACCTCACAACACATATCACTGAACCAGCATCATGGCTACCAGGTATTTAACACCTACTCAACCTCAGACACTGTGCATGCATTTATTAACCATAGCCTCACAGCAACGCCGTAAGCTGAGTATCATTTCTCCCATTTTACAGATATGGAAACAGAGGCTCTCTCAAGATCACAGAGCGAGTAAGTGGTAGAGGCATGATTTGAAGCCAGATCACCTGTCTTAAAAGCCCAGCTTTTGCCTCTGTACAACGCTGTCTCACCAAGACAGAAGGGAGAAACCAAGGCCTCTGTTATGAATTTGTATAACCAGATTTCATGTGAAGAAACACATGGAGGGGTGGAGGTTACAACGTGCTTCATCTCCCCGCCTCAGTGACCTCCTTGCTATTTTAGAATTAGAATTCCAGTTCCTGTGAAAAGACAGCATATAGTTGGGGTTTCAGCACCATGGACAAGACACCAACTCTGGAGGCCTGAAAAGAGCTGGGGCTGTAAGGAGAGGACATGTGCAGCAGAGTGGGGTGGGGGTGCTGGCTTTGGTGCTCCCTGGAGTTGCCACATATTGGCTTTGCTTCCTCCGCCTTTCCATCTGCGGAAGGTTGCCTGGGAATCTGGCTCCGCTCCTGCCTCTTTCCGACCTTCTCATCTCCCTGCACCCAACCCACCTCTGGCCTCACTAAGCAGGGCTCTCATGCAATTTTGGACAACTGGGCAAATCCCAGTGCCAGGAAAATCCCTGGCTGTAAAAGCCTAAATGTGTTCCCAGACAGCACACACACCCTTTGCGTAGCTCATGATGAACTGTGCACACCACTGCACACGGTATTAAATAGTAAATAGAAGTGGGCCTAATTTTGTGTAAATCTAAAATGAAAACCCACATTGATTACAAAAACACACGGTTTAGAGGAGGGCTTCACATCCCAGCCTTCACGGATTCCTAGGGGTTCCATGGTGGAAACCTAGAGACTTCAAGGTCATTTCTGAACCTTCTGGAAGTGTGGAATGTTGTTTTCATGTCCGTGTGTGTGTGTGTGTGTGTGTGTAAAAATTTATAAGCCTTTTATTTACTGGGGAGAGTTTTTTTTTGTTTGTTTTTGTTTTTAGATTTCGTTGGCTTTTCAAAGGGCCCATGAAGTTTAAAAAGTTATGAGTACCACTGTGCTAAAGAATTATCCAGCTCAGAGAGCCCTTTAATGATTTGGGACGGTGGGGACCAGTTTGCAAAGTCAAATTCTAACCTCCCCGTGCCCATGTCTTTCTTCCAGTGGCTGCTGGGAAGCAGCTTATATCTCCTCCTGCCTCCTACCCCCTCCTCCTCTTCCTGTTCACTTTTGAGAATGGAGTTGCCTGCCAGTTCGCAGTATCATTGAGTTGTAAAATGCCAAGGTCACCAGCATCCTTAGGAATCTATATTTAGTTGCAAACATTTGCTTTGTGCACATATTCTCAAAAAAGCTTTTCTATTTTGTGGGGCTCAAGAGTAATTGCCCATTGCTCCCAAATATGAAGAGAATCCACATATAAAGCAATTGCCAAACTCTGGACAGTAACAGATCCTCTTGTTCAATTGCAATTGATTTCTTTGTTTTTCTTTTTCTTTTTTTTTTCATGACAGAGTCTTACTCTGTCCCCCAGACTTGGAGTGCAGTGGTGTGATCTCAGCTCACTGCAACCTCGAACTCCTGGGTTCAAGCAATTCTCTTGCCTCAGCTTACCGAATAGCTGGGATTACAGATGCCTGCCACCACGCCTTGCTAATTTTTGTATTTTTAGTAGAGGCAAGGTTTTACTGTGTTGGCCAGGCTCGAACCCCTGACCTCAAGTGATCCACCTGCCTTAGCCTCCCAAAGTGCTGAGATTACAGGCATGAGCCACTGTGTCTGGCCATCTGCAATTGATTCCTGTAGTGCCAAAGGCTTTGGAAGGTGTTGGGCTCATCGTAATGTGTGTGTTGGCCTGTGTCATGTATTGTCTTTGCAGGGATGGCTGTTCTTCGGAACCATCTGATTTGTGTTTCAGGTAGTGTTGTTCTGTCTCATTGCACTTCCTAGAGCTCCTTATGAAATTCTGGGTCAGAGTCAGGGCTGTGTGAGACCAGGCAGGATCAGGGCTCAGTTTAGGCCTCTAGTTGGGGTTCAGTCAAGGAACAAGGCTCAGTTTAATCCTGGTACTAGGCTCAGTCTAGAATTAAGATTGAAGCTCAGTTTGTGGCTAGGATCAGGGTCAGATGGGGGCTCTTTCTCAACTGACTCATGGAGACTTCCTTTCCACAGGTGCCCAGGACCCCACGCCCAGGGGTGGAGTCAGCTGACAGCAGGCGCCTGGCCACCAAGCACAGCAGGAAGGCCCTGAAAGCCAGCCTGACGCTGGGCATCCTGCTGGGCATGTTCTTTGTGACCTGGCTGCCCTTCTTTGTGGCCAACATAGTCCAGGTGAGTCCAGCCCTTGTAGGAGAGGCCCTGGATCCCAGCCCAGGCAAGGGGCAGGCGAGGGCAGGCTGCTCTCGTGGCGTGTGTGTGTCCGCTCCATTCGTGCTGGGAAGGGAGGCCTGGGTCCCTGCCCTGGGACCGGGCATGACACATCCCATCCCCTCAGGCCGTGTGCGACTGCATCTCTCCAGGCCTCTTCGATGTCCTCACGTGGCTGGGTTACTGTAACAGCACCATGAACCCCATCATCTACCCTCTCTTCATGCGGGACTTCAAGCGGGCGCTGGGCAGGTTCCTGCCATGTCCACGCTGTCTCCGGGAGCACCAGGCCAGCCTGGCCTCACCGTCACTGCGCACCTCTCACAGTGGCCCCCGGCCCGGCCTGAGCCTACAGCAGGTGCTGCCACTGCCCCTGCCACCTGACTCAGACTCAGACTCAGATGCAGGCTCGGGCGGCTCCTCAGGCCTGCAGCTCACAGCCCAACTGCTGCTTCCTGGCGAAGCCACCCGGGACCCCCCGCTGCCCACCAGGGCCACTGCTGCCGTCAACTTCTTCAACATCAACCCTGTGGAGCCCGAGCTGCGGCTGCATCCACTTGGCACCCCCACGAACTGACCCAGGCGTGGGACTGGCCAGTGGGGAGCTGGATTGAGCAGAACCCAGACCCCAAGGCCTGGGGTCAGCTCTTGGCTAAGACCAGGAGGCTGCAGGTCTCCTAGGAGCCTTCTGAGCTCCAGCAGGGGGTGCACAGAGCCAGACCTTACTGCCCACTCCAGGCCCCTCACATGCAGGGATCAGAGCTGACTCAGATACTATTTTCTGAAAGATGCTCCATTGTTGGGTGAAACGTGTGTGTGGAGGATGGGCTGGAGGATTCTGGATGTTAGGGAGAAGAACCTCTTGGTTCAGGTAGGATGAAAACAATCATGCCCTTTGCCCATTCTGTCAGGCTGGATGGGAGGGAATGCCCCCACCTGCAGGCATGGATTAGTGCTCGGCTGAACCCCTTGATACTCACAGCCTAGTCTATGGACAATCAGCATTGCCATCTCCTTTTGGGAGTTTGTGACAAATGCACATCTCTGCGCCTGCCCAGACCTGCTGAGTCAGAACTGCATGTTACCAGGATCCCATATGAATTACGTGCCCATTACACTTTGAGATGGTCTGGCTTAAATGATCTTCAACCCTGAGAATGATTTGCTGGACAGTTTTTGGACCTGCCAGTCCCCCCACCCTGGGATATACGTGGCAGCAGCTGCACCTGGGAGGCAGGCAGGCATATATTTGGGCCTCTGCTCTACGACCTCTGCTCTGGGGCCTGACACAGGTTACTTTGCCTTTCTGAGTCTCAGTTATCCCATGTGTAAGACAGAGTCACGATGCCTACCCTTGCAGGGTTGTCTTGAGAATTAAGACAATGTGTGCCCAGCACCCAGTACCTGGTCAGTTAAGTGGTACGTTCTGTTGTTACTACCCCTGGCTATCCAGGCCCCTGGTCTCTCTGACTGTGGGTCAGGAGGGGCTGTTTGTTCCCATTGTTCTTTATCCATTTTCCTCCCCCTCTTCAGCCCCGGCCCAGGCTCCCACAGCCTGACTCTGGTTCCCCAACTCCCTGTTTTGTCTGCTGGGTAGGGACCCCATCTCTCAGGGACCCTCCCAGCTCCCAAGCTGCTGCGTTACCTCTCCTGGGGGCAAAAGGGGCAGGTGGCAGTTTCTTATGCAGCCTTACAGACTGGTTTTCCTCGATCCTGGGGGGTACTTGGACCTAGAAGGGAACAACTGATGGGAATAAACCCAGCCCCTTGCCCCACCTTCCCTGGCCTTCCCTGGGGTCAGTGAGAGAAATGGGAATGGTAACTACTTGGGTCAGCAGAGCAGAGTCAAAGAAGACCTGTCCCTGGTGTGGGATGGGGCCACAAGGCAGGCAGGTGAACTCTGGCACAGGGGCCTTGTTTTCTGGGGGCTGGGAGTTGGGGAACTCTTGGTCTCCACAGTTTACCTGCCATAGGTCCCTTTTCAGCTCTGCCTCCCCAAGTTCCATCAACATGAACTCCCAGGGGGTCCTCCATGTCTGGCCTGGCGCTCTCCTTGGTGCTGATGAGACACAACTCTGGCCCTGGCCACTGGCCACAGACCATGGTGCTTGTGGGGCTTCCCCTATTCCCCAGACCTGCCAAAGGGCGCTCTCAATAAAGTCTAGCTGAAGGCCGTGGCTGTTGTGTGGACTGGATTCAACTGAGAGGCCACTCGGGGCTTGAGAAGCAGCTGGTGTAGTGGGAGAAGGCCTGGGTGTAGGTGTCCTAGGTTCTGCTCCAGATTCTGCCCCTTCAATTTGGGACCCCAGCAAAATCTTCCCTTTCAGAGTCTCCATTTCCCATGTGTGACACGAGCAGTTTGGTTTAAAACTAACAAGAGTTGCATAAATATTTGTTTTTAAAATTTGTGTTTTAAGAGTCAGAGTTGGGCCGGGCGCGGTGGCTCAAGCCTGTAATCCCAGCACTTTGGGAGGCCGAGGCGGGTGGATCACGAGGTCAAGAGATCGAGACCATCCTGGTCAACATGGTGAAACCCCGTCTCTACTAAAAATACAAAAAATTAGCTGGGCATGGTGGCGCGTGCCTGTAATCCCAGCTACTCGGGAGGCTGAGGCAGGAGAATTACCTGAACCCAGGAGGTGGAGGTTGCGGTGAGCCGAGCTCGCACCATTGCACTCCAGCCTGGGTAACAAGAGCAAAACTCCGTCTCAAAAAAAAAAAAAAAAAAAAAAAAGAGTCAGAGTTGACTGGGCATGGTGGCTCACACCTGTAATCCCAGCACTTTGGGAAGCTGAGGCAGGTGGATCACCTGAGGTCAGCAGTTCAAGACCAGCCTGGCCAACATGGTGAAACCCCATCTCTACTAAAATTACAAAAAATTAGCCAGGCGTGGTGGCAGGTGCCTGTAATCCCAGCTACTTGGCAGGCTGAGGCAGGAGAATCACTTGAACCCAGGAGGCAGTGGTTGCAGTGAGCCAAGACTGTGCCATTGCACTCCAGCCTGGGTGACAAGAATCCATCTCAAAAAAAAAAAGAGTCGGAGTCTCACTCTGTCGCCCAGGCTGGAGTGCTGCAGCACAATCAAACTCACTGCAGCTTTGAACTCCTTGGCTCAGGCAATCCTCCTCCCTCAGCCTCTTGAGTGTTGACTGTGGCTAATTTTTTTTATTTTAATTTTTTTGTAGAGACCAGCTTTCGCTATGTTGTCCAGGCTGATTTCCAATTCCTGGCCTCAAGTGATTTCCCACTTTGGCCTCCCAAAGTGCTGAGACTACAGGCATAAGCCATAAATGTGTGTCGAATGAACAAATGAATATACATACACCTGAGCAGTGATCTGGCTCCCATGTTCCACAGCTCTCATTTCTGCTGCCCTCCTCCAACCTTCCCCAGAGCTTGTCAGTCCTTCCTCTGCCCAGACCTTGATTTCTCCATCTGCACAACAGGGGCGCATTATCTATGGCCTTGTCATTCAGAAATTGTGAGAGGAACAAAGAGGAAGGGTCTCATGGATGCAGACCCAGTGGCTTGGAGCTTGGACGCTGGAGTCTGACATATGGGGGCCTGGAATTTGGCTCCATCACTGACCAGCTGTATGGCCTTCAGCAGTTTACCTGATTTCTCTGAGCCTCAGTTTCCCCAAATATAAAACAAAGATAATTATAGTCCCGACCTCATAGAATTGCTGTGAAGGCCAAGTGACACAACCCACATAGCCACTTGGCATGTAGTACGCGCTCAAGAAGTGGTAGCTTATTATTATTTATTGCTGCTGTTATCCCCTCTGTTCCTGCTACAGGAAAGTCTTTCCCAGTAAACTTCATTCTTGTCCCCAGGCCTAATTCACAGCCTTACCGAATGCAATTCCGCATGCACTCACCATGCTTTGTCACAGAGCTACCGTGGTGCATGTTGGGGGACCACACTCACATTGTGTCTGTGTGACTAATGTCCCTGGAACTGTACAGTGCGCAGCCTGCGTGGCTGTATGGGGCAGATCAGATTGGATCTCCTAAGAGCAGGAGTGAGCTGCCCACTTTTGCCTGTGCCTGCCCTGCTGCTGCCAGTTGATGGTGTCTGTCAGCTGGTGGGTAGCCCTGGCGTGTGGATGGAAGAGTAGGCAGGCACCTGGTTTTACTTAGTCCAGGGGAGAGGTGGCGTGGGAGCCTTGGGCCCCAGAGAGCCCTCTGGACCTCCCGATGGACAGCCAGACTCCAAAGCTGTGAGAAGTATAGAAAGCCCGAAGCTGGTTTCCAGTCCTGGGACTCTTAACTTGGGCTTGGCTGACTCTGCGGGTCTCTGATGAGGGGGCTACTGCTCCCTGCTGAGGCTCCTCTGGAGACAGGCAGCTTCCCCAGGGTGGGCATGTTCTATCCTCCAAATTCCCCTTACTTCCATTTCCTTTGCCTTTCAGTTCCAATTCCTTCAAATTAGGAGAGACCCGTGGAAACCCCGCACCTCCAGAGCTCCTGGGAGGAAGCCGAGGGTATGAGAGAGCTGCATATGGAGATCAGGGAAGACAGCTCAGGTCCCCCGCTGGGGTCATTCCAGCCCCGGGCTGGGGCCCTGGGTCTTGCAGGCACAACTGGGGCAGCCCAGTGGGTTGGGGTCCATGCCATGGTTGCAGATGTTGGGGCTTTCAGGGCTGGCAGCAGCAGGAAGGGAGGCCCCTTCAGACTGGTCCAGCCCTGCTGGCACCTGGGCTTGGCTGGGGTCCATGGACATGGCCAATTTGGAGGCATCTCTGGATGTGGGACCCTGGGTTTGCCCAACCTCGTGGGTGGTTTCGCCTGATGAGGGGGCTGCTGCCTGATGAGGCTCCTCGGGGGGCAGGCAGCCTGGGGCCAGCGAGAGCCCCTTCTCGTCCCAGCCTGGCTTGGTACTGATGCCCACGGCCTTCAGGATGGCGTCCATGTGCTTGGCATAGTCCAGGTGGCCGCTGACCTGCAGGAGACAGTGAGAGAGGGCCATGATGGGTGTGTGGAGCCCAGTCCTCCCCAGGGACCCCAGCCAAACTTCTGGGCCTCAGCCTTGCAAAGAAAGACTAAAGATGTTTCTCTAAAAAATCTGGATCCTCTGGGGGCAGGAAGGAATCTCCTGATAAGGAGAAAGGTGGGATAGAAGCTCTCATTCTTTGCATGAAATTTTTTTGTTTGTTTTTTGAGACAGGGCCTCACTGTGTTGCCCAGGCTGGAGTGCCAAGGAGCGATCTCAGCCCACTGCCATTTCTACCTCTTGGGTTCAAGTGATCCTCCTGCCTCAGCCTCCTGAGTAGCTGGGATTATAGGCATGTGCCACCATGCCACTAACTTTGTATCTTTAGTGGAAAAGGGGTTTCGCCATGTTGGCCACGCTGGTCTTGAACTCCTAGCCTCAAGTGACCCAGCAGCCTCAGCCTCCCAAAGTGCTGGGATTACAGGCATGAGCCACTGGGGCTGGCAGCTTTTCTTTTCTTTTTTTTTTTTTTTTTTAAAGAATGGGCTTTTTATCAAAATAGCATGAGAAAAAAGAAAAACAAAAAAAAAAGAGAGAGATGAATTCTCTCTCTCTCATCCAGGCTGGAGTGTAGTAGTACAATCATAGCCCATTGTAGCCTTGACCTTCTGGGGTCTAGTGATCCTCCCACCTCAGCCTCCAGAGTAGCTGGGGCTACACGTGCATGCCACCATGCCTGGCTAAGTTTTAAATTTTCTGTAGTGATGGGGTCTCCTATGTTGCCCGGGTCTCGAACTCTTGGACTCAAGCAATCCTGCTGCCTCAGCCTCCCAAAGGGATTACAGGCCTGAGCCACTGAGCCCAGCCCATGCCTGCAGCTCTAGGCTATCCCAGAAGGGCTCTGCTGCTCACTAGTCATGACACCTTGGTCAGGGCCCTCTACCCCTCTGGCTCTCAGTTGCCTCCACTGTAAAAAGCAGAACACAAGGGTAGCATCACTAGAGGTTGGCTGTGAGGATTTTCCCTGGAAAAGTCCCCAAATTGGAAAGAAAGCTATGGCACAGACTACAAAGTACTGGCTACAACTCACTCTCCTGTTTCTCATTTAGTCACAAGGATCCAAATTTATAGCTGGGCACACTCCCCAGGCTTCCTTGCAGTTAGGAATAGCACTGTGAGTAGTTTTGGCCCATGAATTGAAGCAGTAGTGTTATGTGGTGTTCCTTGGAATTCTCTTTAAGAGGAGGAATGCTCTTCTTCCCTCGTGTCCTCTTTCCGGCTGGCTGGAATTCAGACAAGATGGCCAGAGCTTGAGCAGCCATCTTGGGCCATGAGTCAGCCCACTAAGGAAGGCAGAACAAAAAGCAAGAGGGAAATTTGGTCCCTGAAGACTGTGGAGTGGCACGCCAGCCCTAAATGGTTTATTCTGGTTTCTTTTATGTGACAGAATCAACCCTCATGTATTTAAGACAATTAGGCCAGGCACAGTGGCTCACCCCTATAATCCCAGCACTTAGGGAGGCCAAGATGGCAGAATCACTTGAGCCCAGGAGTTTGAGACCAGCCTGGGCAACATGGAGAAACCCTGTCTCTATAAAACATACCAAAATTAGCTGGGCATAGGAGTGTGTGCCTGTAATGCCAGTGACTAGGTAGGCTGGGGTGGGAGGATTGCTTGAGCCTGGGAGGTCACAGATGCAGTGAGCCACAATCTTGTCACTGCACTCCAGTTTGGGTGACAGAGCAAGATCCTGTCTCCAGAAAAAACAAAAACCAAAACAGAAAACATTAGCAGGGCCTCTGTTCTGTGGGCCTACATCTTAACTAAGTCAAAGGCCAAGAACTCAGAAGTGGCCGCCCCCTTTGTCAGTCATATGTCCATCCCATTTTTGTGCTGGGATGCGTTGGTGAGTGACAAGTGGGGGTGTGACTGAAATGCCTGATGCCTAGCTGTAAAATGGACAATGCCTGACACATAGTAGGTCCTTAATACATTGCACCAAATCAGCTTATTACATGTACTCCTTGGATAGGTGCCGGCTGCTAATTGTAGATGAAGAAATTGAGCCACAGAGAGGTAAAGTGACTTACCCAAGGTCATACAGCTGGAACACCTCAGGGCTGGGATTGAAATCCAGGCCTGTTTCTAAAGCCTATTCTCTTCAGAGAAAATCAGCTCGGGAAGGGATGTTCAAAATCATGCTCGTTTTACAGAGAACAGCAAAGCCCAGAGTGGGGTGGTGTGTCATTGCTTTATGACACACAGCGCATGAGCAGCAAAGCCAGGTGCTGAGCCTGAGATGCTGCCTGCAGAAGCTGCTGGGATCTGCCCCTGAGACGGAGCCTCGCATTCTCCCCAGCCAGTCGACGGGCCTGCTTTGGTGCCAAAGATGCGCACAAGACCGAACTTTCCTTTAAGGCCGAAGGGGAAGGCTTTCTTTTAAAAAAAGGATGGGAAAAACACCGGGGAGGCTTTTGTTGGGAATCTCAGAAAACAGCACAAAGACACTGCTGGTAATATCTGCATTTCCGTTTGAATCACAAATCACACTGCACTATTCAGATGATTTCTCAAAGACACAAAAAGACAATTCCCTGTACAGTTTTGTTATTTTCTCACTACTGGAATCTGTCTACCTCTTGTTCCTTCCCTCACAAATGCTTTTAAACAGATTCCAGTGAAAATACACACGTGTATTCACGCTTCTAAGTGGCTCCCAGGTCCCTGTCAAGGCAGAGCGAGAGCCCCTCTGCGGCAGGAGGTATATTTAGTGGCTGCAGGGCCTGAGAAGGAACCTAAGTTTGGACTTTCTGAGAAACTGGGGTGCCAGCCTTGGCTCTGTCTCTTACTAGTAACTGGGCCAGTCCTCACAATCTCCATCTGTAAAATGAGAGTCATGACCTTGAATGATTGCTGCAAGGAGTCCAAGGGCCTAGCACTCGGGAGCTCAGAGAATGCTGTCCTTTGATATTATGTTCCTAAATGATCCAAAACACTTTTTAAAACAATTTCTTTTTTTGTGATGGAGTCTCACTCCGTTGCCAGGCTGCAGTACAATGGCATGATCTCGGCTCACTGAAACCTCTGCCTCCCAGGTTCAAGCTATTTTCATGCCTCAGCCTCCCAAGTAGCTAGGATTACAGATGTGCACCACCACGCCTGGCTAATTTTTATATTTTAGTAGAGACCGGGTTTCATCATGTTGGCCAGGCAGGTCTCGCACTCCCAACCTCAGGTGATCCACAGGCCTTGGCCTCCCAAAGTGCTGGGATTACAGGCGTGAGCCACTGCACCTGGCCTTTTAAATTTTAAATGTAGAGATGGGGTCTTTATTGTCCAGGCTGATCTCAAACTCCTGGGCTTGAGAGATCCTCCTGCTTCAGCCTCCTAAAGTGCTCCTACAGGCATGAGCCACCATGCCCTGCCCCAAACACTTTTACAGAGACGTTATGCAATTTGAGTTAGTGATACCTACCTAAAGGAGTTGGTGGGAAGAAATAATACAAACTGTGATGCACAGTGCCTGGCACGCAGCGAGTACTCTGTAAATATGAGTTCCCTTACCTTAGTTTCCTAGAAGTGAGGGATGGAGAGTAGGGAGTTAGCTGGGCTGATCCATTTGGGAGCCCAAGATGGCTGCTCAAGCTCCAGCCATCATGTCTGAATTCTATCCAGCAGAAACTTCAGACCCACAGGGATGAACGATAACTGCCTCTCTAAGGACAAACAAGAACTGCCTCCTTGTACCTTTTAATGTTGTAGAGGACTGGGGCCAGTGCTGGGTAGAAACAGGCCAGGAAGGAAGGGAAGTGTTTGTGGCCACTGGCTGCAGCTGATACCAGATGGAAATTCCACTGAGCGCTATCCTAGAACACACAGCTCTAGCCCTCCTTGACTACAAGTTGGTCCAAGTCTCAGGCAACCCTAGTCACCGAGCCACCCCTCTGCAAAGACCCAGGGGAGCAGTTGCTAGGCAGAGGTTCTGTTTTACAGTTAGCTGGAGATGAGAAAAGAGGGGTGAGGTGGGTTGGGAAAGAGCTTCTCAGCACCAGCAAGTTCTGGCATCACTGATACTGGGTGAAGATTCAGCTCCTGACCGTCTCCCAGGCTGTCTGGATTGAATCTGCCAGCTGCCTGGATACACACTGGATGTGATGGGTGTGCAGAAGCCTTTCACGGCTTCCCGCGCTGGCAGGGGCCTCTGTGGACACCCTGCGACAGCACTCATAACCTGTCATCGTCCATAAGTTCATGAGGTTGCGTTCTCTGACAAACTGTGAGCACAGGGGAGCAGGGACCGCTTCTCACTCACCTCCGTGCCCCAGAGCCAGCCCTGCACATAGTGGGAGCTCAGTGGTGACCAAAGCCCCGCAGGTACGGATGGGGCCCAGCCCTTCCTGTTTCCTGCCTCACAAGACACCCCAACTTACCCAATCAGAAGCTGTTATCACCCCCCCCCCTGCCTGCACCAATGACTCCTTCCAAACCCATCAGGCCCCTTTGGGTGCTTGCACCTCTTGGACCTCAATTTCCTCATGTGTAAAATGGGGCTAATAAAGATAACTATACCACGTGGGCTGGCTGTGTGGCTTTGATGAGATAAAACATGTAACAGGCTTATTGGCGCAGGGTTAGAGGTCACTACCTGAAGCCTCAGAGCTGTGTGAATGGAGGCAGTACCCAGGGAGTGGTTAAGAGCCCAGGTTCAGCTGGCTCTACCACTCACATGCCATGATGCTGTCTGCAGCCTCAGTTTCCACATCGGTACAACAGGATACTATAACTATGCAGGATCTCTTTGAGGATCAAATGACTTATCCCCATAAAGCATGTGAACTGTTGGCTACTGTGGTTATTATCCAGTGCCTACTTCATGCCAAGCCTTTTGCCAAGTTCTAGGCCACCTGGCATTTCCTCTGGGACATGAAGAGTCTTGGCGTGGGCCAGGTCTCTGCACCCCAGAAGCCTCATGAGTTGGTCCCTGGAGTGGCAAATCCCCTGCCCACTG